CATTAAGCCGCTGCGCCACCGCGTCCCCTACGCTGAAAAAGTGGTACCATCTATAATAAAGGCTAGATTAGCAATTAGTGCTACCAGATCTGACAACCTGACCCAAGTAGTGATTACTATTTTCAGATGAAACATAATCATAATTAAGGAAGTTACGGGCAGTCTGGTTTAGAAAGGGTTTATTTCTAAAGCATTATTTTTACTTCTACATTACTATTCACATTGAAAATTGGCCACACTAAACTTGTGTACAAATTTATATTCTGCATATGAATCAAATGGTGCACAGAAGAGGCAGCATCAGGTGATTTGTGCCTGGACCAAAACTTGGCCTGGGAACGCACTGGAACATACGTTCTGGCTAAAGGTGCGTCAGGATGAGGACAGCAGGGAAAATGAAAAGCTGCTGTTGTGGGCTGGCCGGGGAGGTAAGTGGAAGATGCTGGGAAGATGGTGGGGTAGCGGGTAGGCTGGTTGGACAAGGTGGCAGCAGTCACTGGGTATGAAGATGCTGAAATCAGTGATGGATGGATGTCCCAGTCACATATTCTGTGCTTTAATTCATGTATGGCAGCAGGGAGATCAGGTAGTCAGGCTGACACACAGGCCATGTGGAAGGTGCCCTACTTGCCCCGAAGATTCCTGTATTTTTTTCAGGTGAAAGCCAGAACTGCATGGTTCCGACTTTCAGTTCAGTTGGACCACGATGTTCACAAAACAGTCTTGCTGAAAAACCCAGCATATTTGTTTTGTGCATGGAATCAAATCCATTTTCCATTTTGTACATATTCCTGTTCTATAGTTTATTCAATATCCACACAGCCACAATATTTATTCTCAAACCTACAGTTCAAAAAACTGTCAGGTCTCTCCGAGATCTCACCAAATTTCTTATATTGCTGATATAACTGTTTATTTCATAGCCAACAATTACAAGAATATGAACCACCAAGATAGCAAAAACATGACAAAAACACACTATATCTTTCATATGAAAGAAAAATCATAATTACCAATGCCTTATATTATCAATATTAAACCATGTTCTGTAAAAAAATGTGGTAGAGACTTGGAGGGGCACAAGGGTTAACTGCAGACAAGACTAGATTATGCTAATCCATTATGCAGTTTGTTTAGTTTCGGCTTTGTATATTAGGTAAATCCAAACTATTACCATTTATTACAGTGGCTGAATGAGCCATGGCTAAGTGTAATGCATAAACTAAGCCATAATAGTCAAACTACAGAACATTTAAGATTGCGACTTAACAGTGCCTGCAAAAAAAAAACAAAAAAAAAAAAAACAGCATATCCCTACACCAATTCCTCTTCACCAGTAACAAAATTTAAAGATGACTTTTAACTGTCCCCCAACCTTAGGTAATAGATGTATTTTTAATATTTTCTCCAGCGTATTTGATGATAGCAACACTGAATCCAAGGGCAGTAAAGGCTAAAATTGCCATAAGCCCTCCTTCCACCTTCATACCTGTGAGCCTGGAGTTTACCTACAAGTGCAAAGAGTTTCTGTTGGACATAAACAGGTGATAGAAAGGTACTGCTTTAATAATAATAAAGCCAACATTTGGAATATTGTGGGTGTTTTGGACTCTGGAAAATGCTATAGCATTCAGTTCCTACCAATAATTGATGAAGTGGCTCATGACAGGCAGAATAAAAAAATAATGATTATCTTCAGACAATAATACTTGGAAAATAATATTTGTCCATAGAAATTTGAATGCAGACAATAGCTAAGAACACATTTACATCAATCAAGGCTAACACTTGACACAATGTTAAGTACATAATTTATGTAGTCCTGCTCCCTTGACACTAACCTGTTGATTCCAGTGATGCCAATTTCTGGAGCTGTGAGGCAAGATTCTTAAATTTTAGGAGGATTATATAACGTTACCTTCTCCCTCTCCCCAATACAATAGGAAAGGTCTTTCAATACCTAAATCATTTTAGCTTCCCTTTCTTTTGTAATTTTTCCCAGCAGAGTAATCAAGGCTTTATATTAACATTTCAAATGCTAAAAAACCTAGATGAAGGGAATGTAATACTTTTCTTTCAAGGTAGTATAAATGCAAACAAAATATCTGGCATTGATTCTTAACTGTGCCTATTTGTATCTGAAAATAGCAAGCTACTTAAGAGTTCAATCTAGTTCTTCAGATGCCATATTTTATAATTTTGGAAAAAATATGTTAACACTGCTCCCTAAGGCTTACAATTCATAAAATCATGACTGCAGAACTTAACACAGCATTATGCAGCCTTTTCCCCCCAGATGCACTGAACTTGAACCTGAGCTCACAGAATTTCTGGGAATATTTAAAAATTTTGAGGACAACAGCAAACAACTAATCTTATCAATGTACCTTTTTGACACTTGGCTCTTTCAGTTGTCTTCCCCTGGTTTAGAAGACCTCATAAAGAATTCAAAAAATATCAAGCGCTTTCACAAGAGCTATTATCCAGATTTACATAGATCTCAAAGAGAATCATAACTCTGACATATGAATCACATTTTGACAGGTGATTTCATAATTCACAGTTGGGAAATAACACCTAATTAAATGGGGTTGAGGGAAAGTCACATAATTACTGCTTCAGAATCTATTTTCAAAGAAAATATAAAGAGCAGCCATTTCAACAAACATTCAAGTATCACAATGTTTATTGATAGATACAAGTATATAAAATCAGGGCATGAACATGTCTTGATAAATTAAGTAGACTTAATTCCAATACTATAATAGGGACCAATTCAGTTTCTCACCATTTTGTTTCACACCCACAAAGACCACTTCCAAGGGCATCTATCCACCTCTTCAAACTGATCATTTTTGTGCAAGTAAACCATGTTTCTTTTTAAAAGACTTGTGCACTTGCCCAGGCTCAAAGATATTAAAATCTAGCACATAAAGCCCATTACTAGAGGTAGAAATACAGGCAATATACTATTACGGCAACCACCATCAATTACAGTTAAGGATTCTCTGTAACAACCAAATGGATAATCAAATATTGCAACAACTCAAGTATTACACTGAGCAAAGTGCATTTCTACAGTATTCAGTGTTGCTATTCAGATTTCTAACAAACAGCCTATGGTAACTGGCATCAAAGAAGATCCTTACACAGACTGCTTCTGAACTTATGATGTAATTATTGCATGCTGCTAATACACTGTTATCTAAACATTAAAGATACTCTAAAATATTTTTATGGTAGACTATGATTAAGACATACTACAAAAACCCTTATGCAGAAGCAAGTCCTACTGACCCGCTACTGCTTTAAATATCGTGAAAACATTACAGCGGAATGAGTTTTCGCAGTGGTTAGGTCAAATGCAGTTACATCATAGCAACAGTATGTTTGCACAATTTAAGGCTTTGGCTGGTTTAGTCAGCATCTTCTTCAGATTCTTCTTCCTCTGCTGTTTCCAGCCAGGTCAACCACTGGTTTACCTGCAATTAAACCCAAACACTGTTATTAGAATGAGAAAAAAGAGGAAATGTAATTCAAATGTATCTGAGATTAACGACATCTGAAACCATTACACACTATTAACAGTATAAAACTTACTGAAAACATGAAGCACATTCTCATGGTCTTATTTTTAAACTTCACAGAAATCTGATTTTTACAGTATATTCTATGTTTTCCCAAATGAGGAATTCACCTGGAACAAAGCTTTGCCTTTCCCTGGAAACTCTTGAGTAATATCTTCTTTCCATGCCAGAAAAGCTTCTTCTTCAATGATTTCCATATCATAGAAATGCACAAAGAAGCGCAGTAACATGCCTGTAACAAAGAGAATATGCTGCTTTTTTATACAGAAAGATTTGTGTTCCATGCTATTAGAAAGCACCACGATTTTAAGGTGGCCATTTATTTAGCATCAGTGGCACTAACATTTACTATTCAGCCATTTCACTTGGTCCTACAAAAGGTTGTAAACAAACCAATTTATATAAGCATTTTTCTATCTGTACCCAAAGTATCAGCCTATGACTATAGAAACAGTTAGGAAACACTACCCTCCCTTTGTCAGATAACTGCTATCCACAGATCTGGCTAGAATTCCCTTTCACCCACATATGGTCACATCAAATGACTGTGAAACAGAGAGAGAGAGAGAGAGAGAGAGAGAGAGAGAGGTGGTTTTATTCTTACCTTTTGGAAAATTGTTGTTGTAGCAGTGCACTTGGAGTGCATATAGGGCACTCACTTGTAGATCAACATGGTCATGAAGGAATTTCTGCATAACTGGCTTAAAGGAAAGAAGCAGCTGTTTTTCTTGCTCCAACTGTTCTTTAGAAGGAGCAGATGAAGAATCTGGTTCATCATTAGGTGGGTTTACTTCACTAGAAATATACTGCAAGAAACTGAAGGAATTGGAAGGAAATCGTGTAAATTGTTTATGTTTAACATGCTCATCCATGTAAAGCAACAGAAAAGCCAAAGGAAGAGTTATTTCTTCCCTTAACATACATAATACAGGTAGTCCCAGTTTAAGAATGAGTTCCGTTCCCAAGGTCTATCCTTAAGTCAAATTTGTACGTAAGCCAGAACAGCAGTATTGTATAATACTGTATAAGCAGTATTGTGCAATTAACTTGAACCATTATGTATTTAACTCAAATTTTGCTACAATAGGCTTCGTTCTAACTATGAATCATCCTTAAACCAGGCATTCTTAGCCCGGGGACTACCTGTATATAATGGGATGGGGAAATAACTCCACCATTACTAAAATCAGCTTGTATTATAGCATATTTAGCTCATGTATTATATTCAACAAACTGGTTTCAGTTGCATCTCTCACCTGGTCATCAAAATATTAACAAATCCCTTATCTACATGTAGTTTTGGTGAAATGTTGTCTTTAATCCATTTATAGATTGCTTGAGGGGATGGGTCCAACTTTATTTGCTTCAGTAGCTCCTTTTCCAGCTTCAGAAGTGGAAACAAGAAGCTAAGTCCTTTCCCTTCCAATATCTCCAGCATACGATCCTTATTCTGGTCAATCTCTGTAACATGCAGATATAAAATTGTCAACCTAATATACTACGATATTCATGATTTAGCTAACATTTTAAAAGGTCCATAATATTTAACCATATTTCCTAACTCTACATTTGTTATGTTTAGTCATCTACTTCATAATTCACTCCATGTACCAATGTTCTTGTTCCTTACCTGGCAGCATTTTTTGCATGTTCACTTTGCTCTGCTGGAAAAGTTCTGTTAGCCATTCACGATCCTGTAGCTTGGCTAACTGCTGAAGGCAAAGTAGGAAGAGGGGAAAATGGGTGCCACTTTCCAATGGTTGTGCTAGTTCAGAGATGCTCACTAGTTCTGAAATTATGGCACGAGCTGCAAACTGTGCTAGATAGGATTTTACCAGAGGGATGTCCACCTCTAGTTTAGGGCACTGGTCCAATACATTTAGGAATGCCTGAAAAAAAAGTTGCTAGCATTAAGTACATTCTTCCATGTCTGGTTCTGATATCAAACAATGCAAAGCCATCAAACTGCACTTATGAATATACATATCTATGTACATACATTACCTGCATGAAGTTGTCACTAGTAGCTATCCCTTCCTGTTTAAGTAAATTGATCAATGCACTTGCTTTTTCTTTATCTTCATCTGATCGATCAAGTGACTGAAGTATTATTTTGCTTAGCATCTCAGAAAGAAAATGTTTTGGTGCCCTCATTTCTCTCACACTGTTGACAGCATCATTGGCATTTCCATTGTTCAAATATTCAGTCACAACAGTTTCCTAAAATAGGAGAGAAAGTTTTTCTGTTTCCCCTAATTCTTTATAGTACAGGTGTCCTTGACTTATGGCCATATGTTTAATGACCGTTTGAAGTTATGACAGTGCTGAAAAAGTGACTTACTGCTAGTCCTCACATTTATGACTGCTGCAGTATCCCCAAGGTCACGTGATCAAAATTTGGGTGCTTGGCAACTGGCATGTATTTACAACAGTTGCAGCATCCTGGGGTCACATGATCGCCATTTGTGACCTTCCTAGGGGGCTTCCGACAAGCAAAGTCAATGGGGGGGAAGCCAGATTTGCTTAACAATCATGGCAAAAAAGGGCATGACTCACTTAGCAACCACATTGACTAGCGACATAAGTTCCAGTCCCAATTATGGTCATAAGTTGAGGACTACCTGTATCACATACTGTAGTTACTGAGCAAACTAACTGAACTTACTGTTAACTTGAGCAACTCTTCCTTAGAAGGTGGTGGCTTTTTACTTGTCTTTGCAGGCTTCTCCTGAATAAGTGGCGGATTTGTTTTGAGACCAAGTTGAGGTGGCTTAAAAAAAAAATAGGCCAAAATTTAGAGAAGGTATATTTACTCACAGTAACATAAGAATCTTAAAAATTGCAACATTTAGCATCCTTTTAATCAAACAACTCTTAATTAGTAGAGCTCACTGGCACTGTGGCAAATTGACAATAATCATGTGTTGGAATAGCCCAGCAAAGGCTTTCACTTTCATTATCACCCTTCAGCACATACAATCTGCAAAAACGCTATTAAATACTTAGTTGTCCAATCAAATCTCACTGTTTACCTGGATTTACTCCCAAACAAGCAAATATTGCAGAATTCCAGGATCTTGCTAAGCATTTGTTCTTCTGAACTCTTAAATAGAAGAAAATGACTTGCTGGAGACATGTGCTGCAATGCTCTGAAGTGCCTCTGTAGGACACAATATTCTCAAATATACAGCCACAGCAATGGAATTAGGCTACGGAGTTAATTGTTCCCTCCCCATTATTGTAATGCCTTAATAATCCATATGCTATCTAGAATGCAACCTATGTAATTAATACTGCTATAATCTGTTAGGAAGTTTTATTAAAACAATTTATTGATAAATATTTACCTGTCCCAGAGGTGGTGTCTGAGTACGTTGTGGCTGTGCACTGGGAGGAATCATAGTTATCTGGGGCTGAAGCTTTGGCACTTGGTTTTTGTTTACTACAAAACACTGAGCAGGCCTCAGGCTAATCTATAAAAAAGAGTTAGATATTAGAAATCTGGAGTATGGTTCTATTACGGTAGCAGTGAAAACTACACATAGTCAGAGCAGGGTTGTATGTTATCCCCAAGCGCTGAGAAATTATAGCAACAGTTTGTTTTTTTTTGAGAATGGAATTAGTTATGACAAGTTTATCATGGTCTTTTATATCTCCATCCAGGATCTGAAATTACTTCAACAGCTCCTTCTTTATGATTAAGAGATAGCCCTCATATCTCATAATCTTGCTCACAGGATACTGGAAACTCCAAGAAGGGAAGGGGAAAGAAAGAGAAGAAGAGGAGTGAAGTTGAAAAGATAATTTGGGGAAAAAGTGAATAGCAGGAAGGTAGAAGGAGAGTTCCAGTGCTGATCCTCGTAATAACGCGTCTTGTTATAATCATTGGGCTTTTTTTAAAAAACAAACAAACAAACAAAAAAACCCTAATCCTATTCCTTTTCAAGGGCATACCTCATCTGCATTAAGCTGTCCCTTCTTAGAAAAACGTGGAGGCATATCCTTGGACTGTCCTTGTTGAGACAGAAGTCCCTGATTTTGATTATGGTATAGTTGGCTTTGCCCCTGTTTTCAAGACAGTGAAAAGAAAATAAAGACTATCACAGTGTATATTCTCGCACTTTACAATGTTATCGTAAAAACATTTTTCATATATTCTATTTATATTGCATGTTTTTATCTTGTTAGAATTCCTTCTACCATTATGAAAAGATTATTCATTTAGTTGTTAGACTGACATTCTACCTTTCCATCAAGAGCTCCATCTTCCAATTTTTCCTCACAACAACCCTGTGAGGTAGGTTGGGTTCAGAGAATGTGATTGGCCCCAAGTTGTCCACTGATGTTCCTTGGCTAAGGGTCTATCTGTAAGCTAACATCTTAACCATAATAGAGTAATAGTAGTTATCTTGTAAGCAAGGTGATTTGGAGATGATTTAATCAAAAGGCAAAGTATTAATTTTCAGTTTATGGCTCAGTCCCAACAAATACATCATAGAAGTGCTCATAAATAAGATGCATTAGTTACAGTATCTGGGGGCTGCTACTGATGCTTTGGTTTTCATATAAATAATGAAAAAAGAAAATAATGAAAATTTACTCTCTTCACCTATTTTAAATTTTAGAAACTGATGAAAGTATTCTAAGCAGAAGTGTAGCAAGAGAAGTTGCCTGTGGAAAGAGGAGAGGCAGAAAGGCAGAACCAACTGATCAGTTCTGCTCCCTGATTCCTAGGCGCTACTGATGCTGGGGAGGCACTTAAAAAAATCGCAATATGGGGACAAAGTGTTTTGTTGCTTACAGGAGTACCATATTTGTTTTCCTCCCAGAAGATGGCAGGAACTATACATGCAGCAAATGCAGACACACTGCCTTTTCGGAGCAGCTAGATACTAGAGGTGAACTAGCCCACCCTTCAGCTGCTGGGAAAGATGGGATTGGACAAGAAAAACGCTTGAGGAAGGACAATAGTGCAAAGGCCCCAGAAGAGAAAAGAAAGCCAGGCAGAGGTTGGAGAGAGGGAGGAAAGTGACACAAAGGACCAAGCTTGTAAAAAAGAGCTTTGTTTCTTTGGAGTTTGACAACAGATTCCAGACTCCCCATTATATTGTTTCTGGACTCCTGGATGAACTGCAGCTGCCGCAGGGGCCAAAGAGGGCTACCTACACAGGCTCTGCAAAAGGGAGGATTCCTGTCCCTGCCTTGAAGCAGCAGCAGCAGCAGCAGCAACAGGTGATGGTAATTTGAGACTCCCTACTGAGAGGGACTAAAACAGCTACCTCTTGAGCTAGTGGGCCTATCAAGAGAAATGTGATGCCTTCCAGGGGCTAACATTTGGGATATACAGAAAAGGTCTTAAGACTCTTTAAGCCCACTGAAAAATATTCTTTTTTACTGATTCTGGTGAGAACAAATGACACACAGTATTGAAGCCACTAGAAGACTATGAAGCACTGGGCTGTTACGTGAAAGAGCTTTTTAAAAAACAAAACAAAACTCCTCCCTGTCAAAGGCTGTGGCCCCAGAAGCAGAAGTAATTTAAGCTCACAAGGGATGCTAAAACTAAAAGTTTTTTTTCAGTTATGTCAGAGCAAGGGGAAGAAGGGTATAATGAACAAATTAGAGTATCCAGGATGATTACATTCAAGAGCCTTGAAAGAATCTGCCCATGTCATTTTAGAGTAAGTATATAAGATGGCTGTAATGCCAAAAGACTAGTGAAGGGCAAATGTAGGAAGAAAGAGGACCCAGGTGACAAGAGATCTGTGAACTCACTGCTGATACTGCGTAAAACTCTGGAACAGAATATTAAGCAGTTGACTTTTAAGTATTTAGAAAACAATGCATCACTTGGCAAGAGCCAGCATGAGTATGAAAGAACAAGTCATGCCAAAGCAATCTGATTTTTCTCTATTGTTTACTTGACTACAGGGATACCAGACCATCTTACCTGTCTTCTGAGAAATCTGTATGCGGGCCAAGAAGCAACAGTTAG